GGGCAGACAAAATAAAAACGCAAAATGCATTGCTCAATTACTCTCATATGATGATAGGTTTTTTGATAGACAATGGCCAGTACTTAATATCCACTGCAATGCACGCACTTTCTACAAGTATTTGTAGTTTCCAAAACAGACCAATTAGTTTAAGAACTGATGCATTGCGTTCATTATTGTAATTTTTTAATGTTTTTTTGTTTGAACTTTATACCTTTTGTCTCTGCTTCAGGGTGTATATGGGTATCCAATAGAAATCCAAGCACTTTTCTTCATGTCTTTGAGATGTGCATTGTGTCTACTCAAGCATGATCAGGAAGGAAAGGAGTTCATAGAGCGAATAGTTAAACGTCTTCATGCCTTGAGCTATCACATGAGAAGTTACTTTTGGCTAGACAAGAAGCAACTCAATGATATATATCGATATAAAACAGAGGAGTACTCTCACACAGCAGTAAACAAATTCAATGTAATGCCTGATTCTCTTCCAGATTGGGTTTTTGATTTTATGCCAGATAGTGGAGGCTATTTCATTGGTAATGTTAGCCCTGCAAGAATGGATTTTCGTTGGTTTTGCTTGGGCAATTGCATTGCAATTCTGTCATCATTGGCAACTCCTGAACAATCCAATGCAATCATGGAACTTATAGAAGAACGGTGGCAGGAGTTGGTCGGAGATATGCCCTTAAAGGTTTGTTATCCAGCCATAGAAAACCATGAATGGCGGATTATTACAGGATGTGACCCCAAAAACACTAGATGGAGCTACCACAATGGAGGATCTTGGCCAGGTATGCATCATAGGGATATATTCTGAAATTGCTGATGATTGTTTGGGAGATAGTAAGTCTGTGCGGTTAAATTTCAAGCATTAAACTTGCTGTTTAAGTTTTAGATTTCTCCTGTCAAGTTATTTACTTTAAAACTCAATCTGGCTGTTGCACTTGCATGTACAGTGCTTCTATGGCTTCTCACAGCTGCATGCATAAAGACTGGACGTCCCCACATTGCAAGAAGGGCCATTGAAAAAGCTGAAACCAGGTTGCCGAAGGACAGCTGGCCTGAATATTATGATGGAAAGCTTGGTCGATATGTCGGGAAACAATCAAGGAAAAACCAGACTTGGTCCATTGCTGGTTATTTGGTGGCAAAAATGTTTCTGGAAGATCCATCTCATTTGCGTTTGGTAACTCTGGAAGAAGACAAACAAATGAAGCCCCTCTTGAAAAGATCAAATTCATGGACACGTTAGCTATCATCCTTTCTGTAGTTTCTACCGAAGTATAAATCTGTTAATCACACAACTTTTGATCTTCCTGTTCTTGATGAAGTGGGGAAAGGAAAAACGGATACCCCATTAAGGATTTTGTAGAATCTAACATCATTTTTGGCCTTTTCTTTTGTTGGGATTCATTCAAGAAGGAAAAAGGCAACGAAGAGTAAGTACTGTTCAAGAATTGTGAAAATGAAATTCCTGGCTCACTTTTTTTGTACTACGGATGATAGACTATGCAAGCATGTTATCCACTTTAAGAAATCCTTTACCATCTGCTGAGTTTAAAACTTTAAATATAAAACTTCAATAGTGAGATTCAAGCTTTTAGTGATTGGATATGACCCAAATTTGTCA